AATTTGTCTTTTATGATAACCAAAGCCGTTGATAATAATATCTCTGAATGTACCTTAACGTTTGCTGTTAATGAAGTGGTATCACTGTTAATCCCTTGTATTTTGCAGTTTGTATCAGTCAACTCTACCCCTGATTGACTGCTGCTCGCATTTAATGTGTTTTTTGGTATTTGTTCCGGCTTGTCTACGTGCAATAACGAATTGTGTTTCTTTCCGCAATGCTTGTAACCCTTAGATGTGCAATTCTGTACGATATGACCATGCCTTAAACAATTCCAACATAAGTTGGCCTTTTTTATTTCATCACGTTTAGACTGAACTGGTAATTCAATAAACGTTTTGCAATGAAATATTTGGTGAGGTTGTTTACACACAAAACAAGTTTCGTGTGATGTTACAAAACTTTTAGAACCCTTGGAATGGTCAGTTACTTGATTTCTATGAAAATTTCCATTTTTCCCAAATTTTCCTTCCCTTGGATTGTTTGAATATAAATATTGACATCTGTATGCTAAAAAATCTATAAATTCAGACAGTGTTTGAAACGATTTGATTGAGCACTTTTTTTTCACTCATTTTTTTTTATCGAGTCTAATTTCTTTTCTAATAAATAGATTAGTAAGACATCCCATGTGTCAACCGGTAACTTTAAACTTTTTAAAACCCTAACAGTTTTTCTTATTTCATCCAAAAATCTTTTTAACCCTGTATATGATTCCTTTTGCATTGGCGGAAATTCGCATATTGATTCAATGTGACTTAACGCAATAAGCTTATTATTTTCAAAACTGTCTCGTAATAAATGCCACGCCTCAATGTAATTTTCATCGCATACTTCTAAAGACTGTATTACTTCTGCGGCTGCCCCTTTTACTAAACTTTTTAAATAAAAGAATTTCTGAACCGGTGTTAATTCTTCGTCGTTATCAATCATGGATGTAAACGCGTCGCGAAACTCCAACCACGATTTGTAGGAACCATAAAATGGTGTTATTTCAATAGTAGGTAACTTTACATTTTTCGCTTTTTTATGAACCGGACCTAAACTTTGTTGCGCCGCTATCTCTCCTGCATTTTGATTAACCAATAATCTTTTTGCATCCCCGATTAATTTGTAATAACTTTCCTCAAAAATATCCCTTACATTTTTTTGTAATTCTGTTTCGTCGATTTCCTCTATTTGTTCCTGAATTTTATTAAATTGATCATACATTTCCTCGCACCTCTTTATTCTCTCTGAAAGCTGAGAAAGAGTTTCTTCCCTGACCTCGCTCAAAAACCTTTCGAATCGGGTTAACTGCCCTTTGATGTTACCGCGTTTTATTTTTAATGATTTTAAATCTGTCATTTTAACGCCCGAAAGAGTTATTTTATTTACTTGCCGGTATGCCTGTGCCTTTACCAAATATGTAGTGCGTCGTGCTCTAAGCCTGAGTGCTGTTCAACACGCCGCTCTCACTCTTCTTTTGACTGCTTTGACTCTCTGACTCACTGCTGTTCCCCGCTGCCGCTTTCTTTTCGCCGAGAGATGTCCAGGTACTCCCTTGCCTTGTTGATACTCCCTTGACTTGTTACTTGGTCATCTGTACCGCACGAAATCCTGGAAATTCCTGTCGATGTTGCTGCCTTTTACTTTTCCTCCACTGACTGGATTTGCTTTTCACCCCTAATGAGAAATACCACGAAACACTTTTACTAGTGAATATCCGGCTCGAAGGACCAATGTTTGGTTTTGTGGTAAATAAATTGACCATAAAGTGGACTGTATATTTGTTGACAAATGTTACAATATGACATGTATATGAGAAGCCTACTTTTTTCTACGTTATTACAAACAACTAGACTTAAGCCAAGGAAACTAAGGAGCGTGTTCCGTCCATGCCGCCCGCCTTGAAAGCCTAGTCTTTCAATAAAATATAAAAATATGTGAGTCTAACGCGAAAATGTGTATAATTTTTTGTAACTGAATTTTCTTGTACGTTACTTCAGATGCTTTTTCATCAATAACTGTCTCATAAAAAACATCCAAAATCTGAGAAAATATAATTAATATTTTTGTATTTAAGTTACTTTTATGATTTACAACTGAAAATATTATAATGTGAAAATATGTGAACTACTCGAAATACGTTTAAATTTCTTATGATTTATTTTCCATGTTTATTTACATCCACTGCTTTTGCAATAATTGTATAAGACTATCCAAAATTTGATTTTATTGATAATCAGATTTTATTAGCTGGTTTTTCTATTAAATATAATAAGAAATTTTTATAATCGAAGAACAGTAACTTTAATGTTTTGCATTTGAACTATTGATTTGGCAAGGGAAAAATATAACTAGCTTTCAAAAACATGTGATATAAGTGGTCATTTAAATAAATATTCAGAAAATAAACCAGAAAATGTATGTTTAAATATATTTTTATATCCATTGCCCACGTATTTCTTTCTTCTGTAATAAATCTACTCATAGTTGGAATTTATAATATCAACGCCGTAAACTGAACTGCGTTGCCTATAATATTGCTCCTGTCTCAAATATGGTTATTAAAAAATGCCTTTATTTTGGTAGACGTATTTTAAAGATTCTGCCAACAATTTTTAGTTTAAAAATATCTGGTGTCTGATCCCATTGGACTAGACAAACAAAACGTTCCAGCTTCCATTGTTACAACCGATGCACCCACTAAAGGGGCTATTGTTTCTGGTGTAAATCCAGTGAAATTAAATTTTATTTTTAACCTGTCGACGTAAAGTTGTCATTAAGTACCTTGCCCCCGTAAGAGATTTGCCAAGGTATTTGGAAACGTGTCGTCTATGTGGGAGGGGCACCAGATGATCAAAATACAGAGTCGGACTAGGTGCAATTTGGAAAGTATTGATAATAATTAATAAGGAGTCGATTACTATGTCAAAAACTTAATAATACATTTATCTTATTTGTTTGTTAGCAAGCAATAACTTATTGGTATGGTTTTCTGACAATTTATTAGTTTTTTTGTCTCTAACTTTAGGGTTCTAATTAGACACCATTTCTTCACATGGCTATTAGCTTCCGATTTTTCTTTTTGGAACATTAGATAGGGCATCTTTGCTATGCCTTCACATTCGGGCAATATGAATTGCGATCTTCTTTTGTTCCTGGAACCTACAGATTATGGTATGGTATGCAGTTATGACTGGTCTATTCCAAAATAATATACCTACATAAAGTTAATAAAATTGTTATTATGCATTCCAATGCTACTGCCAAAACAAAAATATATTAGTGTAAAAGATGTCGTAATAGCACATTTCGATTTGAGTTTCTAGATTTACAGAATTTATATTTTTATTAAATTGAACTTACATTAATTATCCATATTTATACAAAAATCGTATTTGCGTAGTTGTTCCTATGTATCTGTACATTATGAGTATCCTACCACCTTAGATTTCACTATAACGAGTTCTTTGAGAAATATTCCTTGAAACAAAACGCTTTCTGTATGTTTGCTTCTGTTTCTCCCGAATTTATTCCAGAAGAAACTAATTATATTGTATGCTAGCTCGTCCAAGAGAACATATGAAATTATGAGTATGAATAAGATCAGATGTAGAGACAGCGAGACTTTTAGCAGGGCACTATTGATTGAATAAACATCTCTACAATGTATAATTATGCATCAGTTACATTATGATTTCCTATTTCTGGTTTTCAATGTAATCTCTTTTTCCAACATCTTTCTGTGTGTAGGTAACTATGAAACGATTTTCCATTCTCTGCTTATTTGCCTTCATGATAGTCTTTATACCATTAACAATGTTCGTATTTTTCTTAATCTTTCTTTGTCATGTAAAATATTATTTGGAAGCATTTCTCACTGACATTTTAGCAGTTGGTATGGGATCTACACCTTTTCCTCGTTTCATCGTCCTTATTATTTGCTTCAATTTTGATTTTACTGTCAAAATAAGTGTTTATTCTACTCACCAAAAGTATCCGGTGCCACTGTAAATAAAGTAGCCGGCCTTACATCTGCTAGAGATGTGAAGAAAATTTGCACTAAGGCATAAAATATGAATAATATCAAATAACAAATGGATATCGTTACATTGTTATTTCTTACCTTCTAAGTAAGTAACGATCACTTTGAAACTTATGCACTACCACTTACAAGCACCAACAGAAATAATTAATGTTTATATCGAAAATCGAAAACTGTTCACCTATGGTATGTTTATTATTTTTTTTTTCACCATATATGAAAACAAAACACGCCAATTCGAGACTGTTAAATCGTTTTTAAATTATGTATACCATTTTATGTTGTTAATCCATGTTTTAATTAATCTGCAACAAACTTATACCAACATTTTTGCATTTAAATATTTAAAAAAATCTATATCTTAGAAGTGTGTGCGGCTGTTCAAAAAACATTTTTGTTATTCTGGCCTAAGAAATAACTTCCCTAAGTTACCGAATTTAAGAAATGTTTGATATTACACCAAGACTTTTAGTTTCAATGGAAATTAATGGACAAGGTGTTCCCTAGGTTCCTGTTCTAAATTGTATTCCGTGAATGAAATGTCTTAAGTTAAAATTATACCTTGGATAAAACAATATAAATGTATTTGTTACAATTTACAAATTTAAATACAACGTAATGGTCAAAAGCAAAGAAAAAGTCATAATTTTACATGTTCTTTCTAAATATCGAATAAAGCCTCTAGGCCAATTTGTCTAGATTTTGTTGTTTACCTAAATTTTATTGAAAATAGCTAGTATTCATAAGAAAATAATCTTTTACTTAGATTTTTCTCCACCATATTCGACGTACGTATTTGTGCACTAATTCAATTATTGTTAAATTTTCTAAAATATTTTCTCCAAAATCTCAACTGTATCTCTGTAGCTTTAGACTCTTGATTTATTGGTTTTTATACTAAAATAACTCAACATTCTGAAGTTAAATAACTTACAAAACACCTTGTTACGTAATCTGTTATTGTTTTAGGTTATGGTCATCTGTATCCAACCACCATAACAGGAAGGGCACTAACCATTGTTTACGCAATTATTGGAATTCCTTTGTTTCTTATTGCACTTACAGATTTCGGCAAATTGTTTACCAGGGCAATAAAGTTTGTCTGGTCGTTTGTTAGAAGGCTATATTATACTGGAAGTTGCAGAAAGGCTAGAAAAAAGGCTCATGTTAAGGTAAAATGTAATTTTATATTTTTCCTTTATTAATACTTATGTTAAGGACAATTTGATTATTTAGTTATTATGAATAATGCCCGGGCAATATACATTGTTACAGTTTTGCACCATTGAAGTCATAGACTAGTATTTCCAAAAGCAAAGTTGTAGGAAATGACATGACTAAGAAAAATTTACAAATAATGCTTTCCGGTGTTGCCAGATTTCTTCAGTAGCTATTAAAACAATATTTTTTTTTCTTTATTGGAGTAGCCGTTTGATAACAATCAGCAAAATGCATAATCTGCAGTCGGCAGGAACTAAAAAAGAGCTAATATAGCAATAGTAGGCCGTGGATAATAAACAAAAATTGTGTTGTTTAAAAGGAGCCATCATTATTGTGATGTCATTGTGTTATTTCAAAGCTTGTGTATTTAATTCTTTCAGCCTTTTGCAGATCCTTATGGGCTTTATGCCAAAACGAACTGTGAAAACTGCAGGTTTCTAACTCTTACGGTTTAGACGCTATCTAGCCTCATTTAGAGAGCTGAAATCGTGATTTTTTTTAAAAAAAAACAACCGATTATTTCGAAAACAGTAAGTTTTAAACACCATGTATATTTAATAAACTCTACCTAATATTAACCAAGGAATTCAAAAACGCAATAATATACAGGGTGTTCCATTTAATATAACAAAGTTATATTAAGGAGCGTCCACGTGAAATGGAACACCCTGTAAAGCTAAAAATATTTTCATTACATGGCCCACATGATTCCAGACAACTTTTATCAAAACCATTTTTTATAAATTTTATAGTTGCAGAGTTACAGAAGAATCCCTCTTAGGTGGAACACCCTGTATAGTCGAAAATATTTATTTCCTTGTGTATAGGGCTCCAGTCCGATTAAAAAATTATAGTTATTTTGTAGAAGCATCTTAATTAAAAAAACGAAGCAACCATTACGTCATCACATCAACAACCATACCTACATTTAATTACCAAAATATCAAATTTTTAAAATTGTAGTAGAAACATTTTTTATTTAGTTATTGTCTTTTTCCTCATTTTACAATTAACTTTTGTTTCTATCTTAAATTAAATTAAAAATTTAAGTATGAATAATACTAATTTTGAAAATTTCAGTCAGTAATGTGTGGACACGTTGATACTGTATAGTCTTTCCGATTTCAGTTGAAGAACCAAGAACTTGACAGTATGTACCAGGCTCGGTCGCTACGCAGCAACTCGGCATTGAAATATTTGAAAAACTTTTTCCCATATTTATTTAGCCATACCCCGTAGACAAGTCTGGTCGAACTAAACATGCAGGTGGTAGAAATGTATACGCCCAGTTGAAGAACGCGCGTCCGGGCAAACGGCTTTACGCACAGTTGCTCTGGTCGACTGCGTCATAAATTTCAGTTGTCGACAAGTCGCCTGGCAGTGCGGTGCAGCAATGCGGAATTTGGAGTGATTCAGATAAATTTAGTTTATTATATGCACCATTCTATTAATCAATCATATTACAACTGCGAAAGGGAGAAATAAGAGGGGTATTTTGTTTAGTAATATTATTACAACGTGGCACTTTGGGGACCTTTTGAAACGGAGCAAAACGAAATTTACCATCAACATAATAAAACTATTTGAGGACATAAATCATTAAAATATGTTGTTGGCCAAATGAACATATACTAGATATTTTCTACACATTATATGCAAATTATTATAATTTTTTACCTTTAGCAGAAAACTTTTTTAGGGACGCCTATGAAAGTCATTAAATTTTATTGCTATGCGTTTTTTTACATGTTCAACTAACTTCGGAAAGACTTTACCAGCAATTTATTTATTATCTTTCCTCTCATTTTAAAATTAACTTTTGTTTGTACCAATACAGCTGAATTAATATTTCTATTAAAATTAATATTTTTATATATGTACAATAATTGTACATGAAATAAAAATTTGATACTGTAAATATTATTCTATGTAAGAATATGTACTGTCTAGTAATACATATAAGTTTGCTATTGTTTTATGTATTAGTGTTTAAATAACTCTCCTTTGTGTTGAAAATACAACATAAATATTTACAAGATTGTCGATCAATAAAAATTTCATGATTTTGATTATTGAACAAGTGAACTGGGCTCTCTCTCGATATTTAAATCTTTAGATTAATAAATATATCTCTATATAGATTTTGTAGACCCTTTTACAATATTTAAATATTTGAAACGTCTGATTAATACAGGGTGGGTCACCAACAACGCCTCGGTAGCTAGGGACCAAACGGCAAATGTTACAGAAATCTGTTTAGGTGGGTATGTGTAGGTTGATTACGGCTACATTTTAAAGATGTTTTGAGATATACAGGGTGTCCAGGAAAAGCGTACCATATCAAAGTTATGTTTTTTTAAATGGAACACCCTGTATTTTACTGCATTTTTGAAAGCACCGTAAAAAAATAGGTGAACTTTATTAAAGGTTCTGCATACCTAGGACTTACAGTTTGTGAGATATTTCAATTTTAGTGAAAATGCAGGCATAGCGTAGAAATTTAATATTAGCAATAAAAAAATAATTTTAAGGAAGCAGCTTTGGAGGGTCTATTTTAGATCCTTGAAGTTATAAATTGTTATATTTGTCGTCACTTAGTATTATACAGGGTGTTCAAAAAACTGCTGAATACTTCTCTCAACTTTAAACAGCAATAACTTGGTTATTTTAAATGGAACACCCAGTATATTTTTACTTTGGGAGTTGGGAAATTTAAAACTCTTTCAAACTGTGTATAGGTTCCCTATACCTATCTCTAACGGTATTGGAGATATTTGTGCCGTTTCGTTTTTTATCGATTTTTTTTTTAAGATGTATCCACGTGTCTTTATCGAGGTCTTTATTGAATTGATTTGGGTTCTTCTTGATGACGTCTCTTTAAATATATTGAGAAAAATGAGGATGCAATTAGATGGCGCACCTGCAAATTTTTCATATTCAGTGAGAAATTATTTAAATCGAAAATTTAGTAATAAATGGATAAGTAGGAATGGTGCATGTCAGTGGCCACGTAGGTGTCCAGACCTCACCGTAATGGACTTCTTTGTTGCGAGCTATATAAAAAATCTTGTATACAATGTTCCACCTATTACTTGCGATGATATTGGAGGGAAGGATTAGAGATGCATTTGCGTGAGAATATCATTTGAAGATAGAATAAGATGCTGTATTCAGGAGAATGGTTATCAATTCGAACATCAATTAAAATTTTTCTTTGTTTTTTCTAAAAGTAAAAGTTCCTTTTATCATTATCATGAAAATATTCAAAAAAGTTTTCTAATAAAAAATATTATTTTATAAGCAGAATAATTATAAAAAGTTATTAATTTTGTATAAATATGTTTGTAGTAAGTAACTGAATTATTTATGAACATGAAAAATATTTATTAAAGAAAATTTTACTTTTAGAAGAAACAAAGAAAAATTTTAATAGATGTTCGAATTGATAACCATTCTCTTGAATACAGCATCTTATTCTATCTTCAAATGATATTCTCACATTCCTTAGAATATTTGGGGTGATTGTGGCAAATGCATATCTAATCCTTTCCTTCATATCATCGCAAGTAGTAGGTGGAACACTGTGTACAAGATATATTTTTATACAGCCCGAAACAAAGAAGTCCATTACGAGAGGTTTGGACACCTGTGGTAGCCACTGACATGAACCATTCTTACCTACTCATTTATTACTTAATTATCGATTTATATAATTTCTCACTGAATATGAAAAATGTGCAGGTGTGCCATCTATTTGCATTCACATTTTTCTCCTTATATTTAAAGAGACGTCATCAAGAAGAACCCAAACCAATTCAGTAAAGACCTCGATAGAGACACGTGGATACATCTTACAAAAAAAATCGATAAAAAACGAAACGGCACAAATATCTCCAATACCGTTAGAGATAGGTATAGGGAACCTATACACAGTTTGAAAGAGTTTTAAATTTCCCAACTCCCAAAGTAAAAATATACTGGGTGTTCCATTTAAAATAACCAAGTTATTGCTGTTTAAAGTTGAGAGAAGTATTCAGCAGTTTTTTGAACACCCTGTATAATACTAAGTGACGACAAATATAACAATTTATAACTTCAAGGATCTAAAATAAACCCTCCAAAGCTGCTTCCTTAAAATAATTTTTTTATTGCTAATATTAAATTTCCACGCTATGCCTGCATTTTCACTAAAATTGAAATATTTCACAAACTGTAAGTCCTAGGTATCCAGAACCTTTAATAAAGTTCACCTATTTTTTTACAGTACTTTCAAAAATTCAGTAAAATACAGGGTGTTCCATTTAAAAATACATAATTTTGATATGGTACGCTTTTCCTGGACACCCTGTATATTTCAAAGTATTTTTAAAATCTAGCCGTAATCAACCTACACATACCCACCTAAACAGGTTTCTGTGACATTTGCCGTTTGGTCCCTAGCGACCGAGGCGTTAATGTTGGCCCACCCTGTATAATTACATATCTAATTAAAATTCGTGAACATTAATCATCATAATTGCTGCACTTTTAAGTATTTATCTTTGTTTGATGAATATTTTTAATTTATCCTATCACGAACTCTTTCTATGCAACTTTTTAAAAACTACAATAGCAGTACCTAACTACTACTAACTACAGTAGATTTTACTCTTTATATGTTCGAATGAGAAAATAGCATATTTTATTAGGTACAAGTAATATCTTATGTTGCCGAGCGAATAGTTTAAAAGTATACTACAGAAACCACTCTCTACAACGCGCCGTACAACACCTTATAAATTTCGAAAAGAACATGCTTTTGTTTAGTTACGGATGATTAATAATGTAATAAAATCTGTCGTTATTCTGGTCTGCATTATGTGTGTAATCTTTAAATTAAAAATTTTAATGCAACAGTTAAAAGATCATATAAATAACTAAGAAATTTGAGATAATGGTCGTTGCCTATCTCCAAAACCAGCTTCTGTCAAGCTTCTGTATGTGTACATACAATATAATATATACACCTTATTTTATAATATTTATCATCATAAATCAACGTCTGTTTCATAATAACAAACATTCCAGCCGCATAATCATCACTTCCAAAAGACAACTTAAAAATATCTACACAGTAAACAGTACAACCTTTCATTCCTTGCATTCCACAACTGGGCCAAATAGAACACAACACAGTTTTGCTAAAAATTAAATAGGTCGAGATAATGTAACTTTTTGAAATGTAACTTGTATAGGTACTAGAAATTTAGTATTTTTCAGAGTAACGTCGTGAGTAACATTTTGCTTCAAAATCCTATAAATATTAGTTTCGTATCTTTTCAATGAAAGTTGGTTTTACATATAATTTCTAATAAAAAGTAATAATAATAATAATACTTTATTTTCCATTTTGACAATATACATTGTATAGGAATAGTCAATTAAAAGAGATTACAGGTTTAACTGTATTCAAAGAGCAAACATACACGTATTAAAAATATACTGTAATATGTATATACATAAAAATAAAAACAATCAAACTTATTTATAAAGTAGGTTTCTACATAATAAAATATTAACAGATCTGAACATTTCAGACATTGATGCAGATAGACACATAAAATTACATGTACTCTGACAGTGAATAAAAAGACTTATCTATGAGATAAATTTTTAATAATTTTTAATAGCAGTAACATCAAATGCAAAAATAAATGACAATTGACTTATAAAACAGACCATATAGGTATCTGTTTTTCAGTACTCAAAAACGAAATCTAGAAAAGTAAGCAGTTAAAAAATATTTTAAATAATTTCAATTACTAATGTGGTAGTAAAAGCTACAATATACAAGGTGTTAACGAAATAAGTACTCAAAATGGGAGTATGTAAAATGTGTCGAAATATGATGAAAACCTTAGTAGAGTTTTTGTCAGTGGCGGCCCCTAAGGGAGATACAACCCCTTAAAGGGGTAACTCAGGAAACAGTTTTTATTTCATAAGTTCCAAACGGTTTAATATTAAATCACGAAATGTTGAGGTTGTATTACTATTTATATGCTTAATAATCGGTATAATACACAAATTAAAATTTGCTACAGGGGCCTAAGAAAATTCGGGATCATGGGACAAATTTAACAATTTTGTTTGTACTTAATTTTTTCAACTTCCTGAACCGAAAATATGAAAATTTATCATATTTTGCATAATAAAGGTACTCTTATTAGATTTTAATAGCATGAGCCGTTTTCTAGTAAAATCCATTTCAATAGGTAATTCATTACTTGCTCAAAGATTCCTACTGCAAAATAAATGGATCAAATCGTGCCATGAGAAAATTTGTGGAGCAGGTCCGCCAGTGAATTCAAATTCAGATACTCAAAAAACATGTAAGTACTCTATATCTCGTTTTTGGATAAATTTTGTTTATTTCCGTGTTGTAAGAAATTGATGAAGTACTAAACTTCAATCTATCATACATCTGGAAAAAAAGATTTTCAAAAAAATTGAAGTGCGCTTAGAAGAGTAAGAGTGGTACTTTGAGATCCCGAATTTTCTTAGGCCCCTGTACCAAATTTTAATTTGTGTATTATACCGATTATTAAGCATATAAATAGTATTTTCATCATATTTCGACATGTTTTACATACTCTCCAATTTTGAGTACTTGTTTGGTTGTACATATAGAAATTTTGGTAGAAAAATTATGAAATTTAAGATTCCAATAATATTTATTTAAATAATGTATAAAGTTAAACACAATATTTTAAATACAATTTGTTGTCATTGTGTGACACGAATTATCTATTTATTTTATATATAAATTATAATCAGACTAACCAATGTTGTTATTACAAAAATCTAAATATACGGACCAAATATCCTTGAAAAGCCATGAAAATGTAACCCCTAGTCATAAGTTACTCGTACAATCTGTATAATTCGACTATGTTAGAAATATTTAAATACATTTATCTTTTTCAGGATATATTCAAAGGTGCACAGTTAGTGTATGATATAGCGACGTTCAGAAGACCATCGGTGTTCAGCGACGATTCAGAAAATCCCCAACCTGCAGTCACCCCCATAGGTTCTGTCGGCATTTCCGCAAACGAAGAAACACCAACAACGCCCGCCTTATCCAATTATGAAATTAACGACGAATTTAACTTGCCGATATCTCTCGCTTTGTTCATCCTTATCTCGTACATATTTATCGGAGCCGTAGTATATTGGGCCTGGGAGGGATGGGACTTTTTTGCATCTTTTTATTTTGTATTTATATCTATGTCAACAGTGGGTTTCGGTGACTTCGTTCCCAAGAAAGTCCTTTGCATGTTGGTTTCTATCTTTTACTTGGTTTTTGGACTAGCCCTTATGTCAATGTGTATCAATGTCGTGCAGGAGAAGTTGAGTGATACTTTTAAACAGGCATCTGCCAAGCTCAGAGCAACAATCGGCATTCAAGGGGAAGATGACACGAGCATTGTGGCCCCAGAGATTGTTGAAATGCCTGACATACATGATCCATCTGCAATTATAATAAGTGAAAACAATAATGTTAGTGAAAATTTGGCTCCCCTTGCTGAAAAGGAAAGCTAACTATTGTGCTTCGCCATTTACATTTTTGAATTTATGTATCTTGTAATGCCAGCTGCGATATTATGATATTAATACTTAAACTGTGACATTTTTTATTGAACAATGATAGCTAATTTAATATGTTTTAGCAGGTAGTTTATTCTAAAAGTAGCATTAAATATGTCCACTTCTTATTCATCCTACTGCTTTTAATGTTTAATTTGCATTAGAACTTTATTTTCTTATATTGTAATTTTTCTTTGTTTTTTTTCAATTTTCTATTATTTTAAGGAAAGTCGAAACATTATCCAACATTTTAAACTGACCAACAGCAAATATTTCAAAAGAACATTAAAGGACGTTTGTGAGTACCAACAAAAACTAGGGATGTGACCTATTTCGATTATAAGCAGTATGCAGCGATATTAGAATCAAATTCAATGTATAGTTATGGATAATGTAATTATATGGTCGTTATAAATAATTCGGCATTATATGTAGTGTGAAAACCATGAAGAGAGAATCGCTAAATATCTGATATAGTTTATTTAATTTGCATGCGCGGTTCCTTGCTACTCGATCGGTGATTGTAAATCACAAATGTTTATAAAACAAAGTATGAGTTCATCGATGGGTGGCATAGGAGCGGGCATTGACTAATAAGCAGTGGTTGTATTCAGGTCGAAAATATTAAAGTTCTTTCAATCAGTTTTACCTAAATCTTTAATTTTAAAAGTAAACCAAATATTAGTTTTTAACAGTAGGTACATAATGACTAAAGACGAGTGAGGTGACAAATATATATAAATTTATCATATTTAATAGCACATTTTTCTCACAAAGTCATACCCTTGGTGACGTAAAAAAAATACGGAACACATTTATAAATATATAATAATTATATAAATATCTGAGGAATTATAATCAATTTCTTTTTACTGCTTATTAGCAGTAAAAAGCTTCGTCCACCATGTATTGTGTCCAAAAAATAAGTGATAATCCCATAATATTTATTTTATTTAGAAATGCGATCGATTACATTATATTATATTAAAATGATATCGTTTAAATGTCCTCCTCTATATTGTGTGAGTCTTACTGAATGAATTCTGGGGATCTAATTCTCGATAGTTTGCTTACATATTTCACGTGGTATATTTTCTATGGTGCGTTGAATATTCGTTTTAAACTCGAGAATTGTTTGTGGCTTATTTCTGTAAACCAAAAATTTCACATAACTTCATAGGAAAAAGTCCAAGAGGGTCAGATTACATGATCTTGATTGACAGTTAACATTAGCATTTCTCAAACAAAAGAACGTCCAGAAAACTGTTGTTGCAATTAATCAATTGTTTCACGAGATGTGTACAAAAAGATTTTTAAAATTTTATTTTTAATTTTTAAGAAAATTTAATTAAAAAAGAGAATTATTTTTGTTTGAACCTCATTTGTTTTTCTGCTGTTATTTTCGAAAACTGCAAAAACAAAAAAGTTAATAGGGGTGAATTCTTATTTATGCCACCGAAACCGATCTCCGTGCTTGACATTCCTATTTTGTGGTTGAAATCGCGCCATCATATATGATTCTTTGGTAGAAATGCTGCTAATATTCGAAACATATGGGAATAGACAACAATTTTGTCTACTTAATATTACATAACATTTTATTTATTTGAATATAAGGACATTAATTTTATATGTATTTGTCTATCGCACTGTTCAAGGAAAATGGGCTAATAAGTATAATAAGTATAGTGCTTAGACCGTGTGATAAATATAATAGGTAATACTTATTTACCAGTCCGCTCGCCTGCTCATTAATTTCTGTCAGAAATCTGAAATTATATTGCTGTTTACTCTGGGATGTAGATATAGATATGAGACTGTTGTAGATTGTGTGGTCGTAGATACTTTGCTTTGAATGCTACTGTTACTGTTATTTATTATGAAGAACTATATTTTATTAATACTAGTTAAGTAAATTTTTATATATGGACACTAACGAATTTAACAAAATTAAAAAAAATGTTCACATCTCTTGAAGAATGTATGTGATTATTATCTAGTCAATATTTTAACACTCACAAGCACTAGTTTGTTTAATATTTATCTTTCTTGTTATACTGAATACGCAACTGAATTTACTATTACTGTTATTATTACTGTTTGTACTATTATTAATGTTCGTTAAATTTTAATTGTGGATTATAATCTTGTTTCTACAAATTTTGTTTTTCTTTAAAACCCCAAAGTGAACAATTTTAGCAATAATAAAATTTGAAGCTCATGTTGAAGTTTGTTAACCATGAAACAAATGATAAAAGTTTATATACATCTAGTAAAGAAGATAGAGTTTTCAATACTTAATATTATGACCTCTACTTTATCTCAGTTAGGTTTAAAGAATATTACAAATTCCTTAAAGCAGGGTACATGTCTTTATGTAGATCTGATAAGTAACAAAAATGAAACACTCATGTACGAAGAATTTAAATTTAATAAGTATAAGTTTTCTATTTTTCTATACCAATGAGTAGCGTCCCCCCAATAGTTAACAAAAACCAAAGCGCAGTAAAATTTATTGGGCAATTTTCGGAACGGTTTAGGTCCCAATAATGCTGTAATAAATACTAGCTTTTTCTAGGAAACAAATACTGACAGATAAGGGGTTTGATGTGAATTTAGAATCACCAGACAAAGTAATTAAGAAGGTCGTGTCTGCAAAACTTTTGTCATCAAAGGAAATAATTTTACAAAACTTAGCCGTCCGACGCTGCCACTTAGAAAAAGAGTATCTCAAAAAAATAGAAAGCATTTTAAATAACTATACAAACATGTCTAACAATCTGTTAACATATTTTCAAGACAAGAAGAAAGGAACAAACGATATCTGTTCGTCACGGGCTCTTCAGGGTTCTACCAGCGAAGATAGGACAGAATGTTACGTAGCAATTCCAAAACTACCATATTTTGTCATAATGTTTTAAGAAAATTAATGCCAAACAGAGACAGTTTTTCGAAGTCTTTTCTTTTTCGGGAAAACGAGAGATCAACGAAGGCTTCCTTACTTCAGAGAGGTACTGCGAAGGAAGGTGTAAAAATAGAGTTGTATGTAAATTCATAGTCCAATTAACTAAGCCTTTAAATCGAAATTTTGTCAACTTGGCTGAATTTTTGATATGAGTTAGTTTAAGGTATATTATAACAATAAGTGAGAGTAATTTTTTGTTCAACCCCCGGCCAAGGGTGGAAAAAGATAAAACAAAGGGCTTTTTCAAGATAACTCAAAAAGGGTAAGAGCTAGAAAAAAAAGTTTTTCATGAAAGTTGTAAAGCAGACAATTCTACATAAAAATGGTCTCTTAGCTTTTTCTTGTACTATTAAAATTAACAGAGTTAGGGAGGCTAGAAGTTAAGGGAAGATTTCAGAAATTTAATTTTGTTAAATCATTAAAATTAACGATTAAAAATTTGATTTTTTGTTATAACTTTCTTATTAAAAATTAAAAAATATATCTATTTCTCTGAAAAGAAAAGTTACATATTTTAGAGCAGATTGAAAAAAAAAATTACAAAATTCAATCATTTTTCTGTTTGTTATGATTTTTTTTAAATTTCTGAAATCTTCCCTTAACTTCTAGCCTCCCTAACTCTGTTAATTGTAATAGTACAAGAAAAAGTTAAGAGGCCATTTTTATGTAGAATTGTCTGCTTTACAACTTTCATGAAAAACTTTTTTTTCTAGCTCTTACCCTTTTTGAGTTATCTTGAAAAAGCCCTTTGTTTTATCTTTTTCCACCCTTGGCCGGGGGTTGAACAAAAAATTACTCTCACTTATTGTTATAATATACCTTAAACTAACTCATATCAAAAATTCAGCCAAGTTGGCAAAATTTCGATTTAAAGGCTTAGTTAATTGGACTATCAGTTTTGTTACATAATTATCAATATGAAATCATTCCTAGAACGATCCCGAGATTCAAGAGGGAGATAGAACCGTCAAGATAACAAGTACTTAAGACATAAAGGAGATACCTCTATTTTAAAGGTTTGAATTGGCAAATAAAGTGATACAAAACTTCTGAACCCGAATAGACGTAGAAGTGTCGAAATCCAATAAGATCCCGGCCGGGGAAGTTCTCCTTGGGTTTCCACATTGCGCTCTATTTAACTTTAGAGTCTCGGGATTAATTTATTGATGGGTAATATCTTAATTCCAAATTTTGCCATGTATCTGCGATTCCCTGAATTTCGAAAGACCATTATCGTGAACAAATTAATCTTTGATATTGTTCATTTGAATTCGTTGTGTTATAGTTGTTTTGTTTGTTTCAATTTTATACTTGTTATTAAAAACCTTCTTTAAGTAGTTCTAGTGTTCTCTCTTTAAATTAAGTGCCCTATTGAGTGAGAGTGTAACCGCCTGTGTGACCAGCTAATGGATTAAACGCTATGTGAGCAAAGGAACGGTAAGTGTCTGAAATTAAATCTCTGAACGTACAGTGCCGGCCCTTTGAAAGTGGACGACTCTTATAAGCAAATTGTCTATAATTGGCCCTTGTGAAGTGACTTGAAAATGTGAGGTTCAAATCGGCTGTCATTATGTCAAATTTAATGTGTGTCTATCATACTAGTTCTAGTGAGCAAAACAAATCCAAATTAGGTAGCAAATTATTTATTTTTCCAATACTGAAATATATAATACGATCTAACGGCCATTCATTCGCCGTCAATGAAATCTAAAAATGAAACACTTCGTCGTCAAAAAAACGCGATTCGTAAAGTTAGTATTTTGTCCAAGCACCATTTTTGTCTATAGCACTGCAATCTGCATGGCATTGGTAAAATTAATGTTCTTGTTATAATCCTTAGTGATGTTATCCCATGCGTTTTCAATTGCCTCCCAAAGTACTTCGATGTTAACTGGACGGAAGTTTCTGTCGTAAATTTTTTTCACCATATATCCCCAGGACTTTGAGGGCCAAGGTAAAACATCGATGTTGTTATCAATGAACTATTCTGACGCAACTCTTGAGGTGTGAATTGAACAATTATCATGCTTGAAAGTGAAATTCTGAGGATACAGCATGGTCACAACAAACATCAAGACTTTGGCAGCTTATCCAAGCCCAAACGTTAATGGAGAATCTATCGCTGCGCTGTGTGGGTTTCACATAAGACTCCGAATACCTTATAATCTCTGGTAGGTAGACACGGACAGAAGCATCGGAGCAAGACTGAAAACTTTTTTCGTCCGAAAATATAATATTCTCCCAGAAGTTGTCTGGGCTTCCTACAAATTGTCTTGCAAAACCTCTGTTCTTTATACTGGGGAGTCAAAGCAACTGTATTTGCGGCCACATAATTCTTCAGCTCAGAATCTTTCACCCGCTTCCTTGCAGTTTGCACTGATCCAGGAAAATTCGTCTCAAAGGAAGCCGCTACTGCCAGGTCAAAAGGATTTATTCTTAGGTTGTGCTTACTTTTCGACGTCCACCTCCGTAAACATAACGTACGTGACCCTACGCAATCCATTTTTCTTTGAGTTTAAATATGCTGTTCTTGCATACAGGCAGATCATCTGCAATGACCAATCATTCTGAAGTAAAGTTATAGCTCTCACTTTCTCTGGTTCCGTTAAACGCGGCATCTTGAATTACCAAGCAAATTACTAATGACACTGATACATAAAAACTTGTCATAATAAGAAGTAGCCCACATCACATTAGAAAAATAAATCGTCCACTTTCAAAGGGCCAGTGTACAACATTTCTAATTTCCCAGGTATCACAATTAACTTGTAAATTATAACTTATGCGCTCCCTTTTGTAATTATAATTCGACTTGGTATAAGCAAATCAATTAGATATTTTTTATTTAAGTTTTCTTCTACACTGAATGGAAACATAGATTTTGAGTAAGCAATCCTTGATGTCAAAAGGGTTAGACAAAGGTTGTTTTTATAAATTTAGTCTTGCCTAACGACAACTGTCTATCTGGGAAATATATACATATAACTGAAAACGATTGCACTGTAAGCAATAATAAATGAAAAATTGTTAATGTTTTGAAAAAACTAACTTGCGGCAATCATAGTTTCGCTATGTAAATCAGAAGTTAACTAAGAGCATAATATTTTTTACTTAACTGTCAACATTAATCCTCATCTTGATACATTATGAATTAATTTAAAATAAGTTTCATTCGTCAAACAACAATCACTGCACAAAAAAAGTATCTTATATATTTATCAGTATACCTACTATAATTTTGAAACGTTCTTATAAGTAAACCAAATTTACTTACATCAAGATTATAATATGCACTGATATGTGTGCCTACAGCTGAATAGTTTTTAGTAACATTTCATCTGTTAAAGGCAAGTAAAATATTACTTAATTAACAATAAGTAAGAAACAATAAAAGTCAAATGGTTGACATAAATTTCAATAAAATTTAAGTTGAAAGGAATTTCTACCACGTTGAAAATTCCGTAATCTATTTGATGTTCAGAAATTGAAATTTCCAATTGTTGTAGTAATAAATAGATTAAGTAAACTCTACATTTATAGGGCAATATTAATAAAGTAATCGGGGCATTTCCTGGTATTTGAAGGAAACGATTTAGTACTGGAATTTCTCGGCTACCTGGAAGGTTACTTTAATAAGGGTGTTTATAACTCTTGTCCTTAGTTTATTAGTTTTGTCTGCCCTTTATATATAGGTGAAATAACTAGTTTTAAGTGTGCAGTAGTTGTGTAGATGTCCACGTAGAAGTACATACGTCTTGTACAATCCTTTCTGTAAATAAACGTATATTAAGTAATTCAAGCTTGCATTATCAACAAGAACCTTCAACAGGTTATCGGCCCAGGAGAACTCTGTGCAAAGTAGTGTTAAAAGTAAAAGAAAAAGAAACGTGTGCCTATTTGAAAAGTGGTTAACTTGTGCAAGAAAATATAACAAGCAAAGAAGAATGGAATCTACAAATATGAAATTTGAGAAGCTACGTGGTAAAGATAATTGGCTCCAATGGCGTTTTGTTATACGTACATTACTGGAGGAGGACGATAACATGCTAGAAGTTTGTGAAGGTCTACTTGTTCGTCCAGAAGAAGGTTCGGCTGAC